CCTAAGATCAGATTCTAGGTTGCTTTCACTACTCTAGAACAAATTAACCACAATCTAGATGAAGAACTCTATTGATTCAATCCTAACAATCTAACAACCTAACAATTCATAAATTCCTTTGACAACCCTAAACCTAACAAGAGATCTACTCAGACATGGTGAATGAAACAAACATCATGAATAAAATAGATATCATAAAAGAAAGTAATAGAAGAAGTAAAGGAGTTCTGGATCTTCTCTGAAGGAGGTTTTGATTCTTCTCTCCTGACTCTCTACAAATCTCTCTCTCCAAAAATAAAGCTCGAGTCTTAACAAAACCCTAAAAACTCAATATATATGTCTTAACCACGAACTCGGCTTAATTGCAAATAAGGGAAACTTCTGGGCCGAATCTGCAAATATTCTGAACTTCAATTAAGCGAGAAATTCAATTGCCGTCAGATATTGGTGTCGATCGACACCAGAAGTTGTGACGCTCGACACGCACACCAAATATGCTTTCCCGATACATTCATTCGACACATCTTTTCCAAATGCTCCAAAAAGCTCCAATCCATGCCAAATAGTTCCTAATCCTGAAATGACTCAAAAAGATTTGAAAACACTAGAAAAGCTCTATAAATAAGACTTATATCATGACCAAAAACCCGTAAAAACCATGATATATCAATTACTTCTTTCTTTTCTTAATCTACAATCTCTAATCATGATTTCACAAAGATCAAACACATTACTTTGGGCTTTCATGACCATGAGTGAGTAGTCATTTTGAATCTTTGGGTTAGGTAGATTAGGAGGATTTTGGAGTTGGGATATGTAGTTTAGGACTAGATAGTTTAAGATCCTTGCTTATTGGTTGTTAATAAGGCTAAATCAACTTTGTTAATGTTGATTTAGAGCTTAGGAGTTTCACGCCCGGAAGGTGTTCGATGAAATTCCCGAACCAAAACTTTTAAGTGCTTTACACTCCTTGCCATTGGAAAATGTTGATTACGATGTTTAGTGGCTAGATAGACTTGTTATTAATGCTTGTTGATCATTTAATTGCCTTTGGAAGAAGTTGATGATTATTTGATTAGTAAAGTGATTATTGTCATGAAAATGGATTAGTCTAGTTTAGTGTCTATGGCCTAAGGATTAATGCTTGTTTGAAGTCGTTAGCTCCATAATCCGCTTCTTTATCGCTCCTAGTCGATTACCTTAACCTGAGGATTCGTCTTTAATTATTTCTTAGTAATTGTCTTTTCCTGCTTTGTTTCAATTCGAATCTTGTTAGTCTTTTGATTATTGCTTTCTTTCATCTTGTTTTGCATTGCTTGATTTAAATTGCATTGTTAGTTACATTTAGAAATCAAAACTCATCTCTTATTAAGCTTAGATTAAACAAATTTGTGTATTCTTGGTGTGTTAATTAATTGCTCCTTGAGGTTCGATAATTTAATTGATCGGGTAAAAATTGCTACATCAATTTGGCGCCGCTGCCGGGGAGCAATATCGATTAGCCATTAGGATTTCATTTTTGCTTGAGACTAAGCCATTTACTTTTCGCATATGATTAGATTCACACATCTAGTTGAGATGATGAGCTCTCTTTTGTTTGTTGTTACTAACTTGTCTTCTTTGATTCTCTTGTGCTTTCGAAGGTACTCAAATCAAAATAAGAAGAATGGGAAGACAAGGTCATTTAAGGTGTTCGATGTGGACATTCATACTAACACTATTCAAGCTCTACAACCTCAAGATTTGAGAGTAAATCCAACTTATGCTAGAGAGGAAACAGCCACAATAGGAAGCTTTGATGTTCCTCATTGTCATGAGTCAAGATATGGAATCCGACCTCCTCCAATAGAAGCCAATGCTTATGAAATCAAGCCAAGTTTGATTCGATTGATCCAAGACTCTAAATTCTTGGGACTAGCTATGGAGAATCCATATGATCATTTGGACTCCTTTGAGAGGTTGTGTAGCACATTTCGGATTGGAGGTGTGCCCGATGATAGTATCAAGCTCATTTTGTTTCAATTTTCTCTTGGAGAAAAAGCAAGCCGATGGGAGAGAGCAATACCATCACATTTGGTCAACTCTTGGGATGATTGTAAGAGGATATTCCTTCTCAAGTTCTACTCTAAGCAAAGAACAGCCAAAGTGAGGAAGGACATAATGGGCTTTGAGCAAGGTATCAATGAAAGTTTCTATGAAGCGTGGGGAAGACTTAAGGGATATACTCGAGATTGTCCTCATCATGGATTCAACAAGGAATCTATCCTTAGTATTTTATATAGGGGAGTTAGTAAGGAGCTAAAATGGAGATTGGACGTGGCTAGCAACAGAAGTTTTGTAAATCTCACTATCGAACAAGGAGAGTTACTTGTTGAGAATTTGGCGGAAAGCAATCAAAGGTGCAATGAGATATGCGATCAATCGTCTCTAGAGATACCACAAGACGACTACACATGGAGATATTCACAAGAGAGATTATGCCAAGTTCAACAAGAGCAAGGATTTCAACCAAGTCCTCAATTCACAAACCAAGGACAATCTTATCTTCAAGCTCCTCCTCAAGATAATGAAGTGAATTCTATGTTGAAACAAGTTTTAGAACGCCAAACTAAGGATTATATGGATTTTGGTAAGAGGTGTATCGATATGCACAACAAGATAGATGAGATGTACAATGCTCTTAATGGTAAGATCACTAGCTTGGCTTCTCAACATGAAGATATGAAGAGTAAGCAAGTGACTAGAGACTTGACTTATCAACTTGTAGAGATCAAAGTTGTTAATGTGAGGAATAAAGACCATAAAGCTTGATGAAAACATCATGGATGGTGAGTGTCTAGCCTCTTTAGTTGATGAGTTTAAAGACAATGGTGAAGAGGAGTATTTAGGTAAAGCTAAAAGATGCCTTGAAGCCAACAAGAGGAAGAAGAAACAAACCCACCCTCCCAACTTTGTTCCTTCCTCTAACACCATGAGCTTCCATCCCGTGAAGCTAATAGATGGAAAAATTGAGTATAAGGTGAAGTGAAAGGGTTCTTCTACTCCTTTGCAAGTGTCAAAGCAAGAATCCAACCCGAACTTCAAAAGGACCAAGATAGACTTTAAGAGTTCCTCTCAAGGGTCATCACCATCAACCTCAATGGTGTAACACGGTCTAACCATTCCAATCTCCACACTCTTTCAATCCCTCCAACTAGCCTACCAAGGAGTTCCACTCCTCCTCTCACTCTCCTCCCTAAGGTACACAACTAGGGCCAAGGTATGGCTTCACCTTTCATTGTATATACCGTTTTAAGTCTTATTTTAATTTCTTTTTTGTTAGTCTCTTCCTCATCCTTTTATAACACCGAGACGGTGTGAATTAAGTTTGGGGGAGGGACTAGGTATCTAATGATGTGTTTTGTTTTGTTTTTCATTCTCTTGAGTCTTGCATTTGTTAATAGATTTGTTTTGAGAAAAATCAAAAAAAATTGAAAATTTTGAAAATTTCAAAAACATGCATGTAGTTTTGCATAGTCATTTCTATCTTTAGGATTGAGTCTAGTAGCATATAGCTTGCATTTGCACAAGCATTGGAAGTGATGATTCATATGCCTTGTTGAAATTCAATCTTATGACTGAAATTAAAGCCCTCGATCATGGTTCATTGTTGCTTAATCATCTTGGAAAGAAATGAAAATTCATGCTTAGACCTTTGCATTCTGTGAGAGAAATCTCTTCTTGTGTGAAACTTACATGATCTTTGAAGCATCTCTATGTATTTGGACTTAATTTGAATCTAATTCTCTCGCTTATGGTTTTTGAATGCATTCTCATGGTAAATTCTTCTTAATCGAATCATATACCCTTTCACCACTCTCTTGAATGATTCGAAAGTCCCTTTACCCTTAACCCTTACCTTTCATTTCAACCCTTGAATTGATTTTGTGAGTGAGGCCTCTTCTTGATAATGCTATAGATTGTGAAATCTTGAGAGAATCGAGAACGACAAAGCAT